CTACTATTTTGGGCTCATATTGGTGCAGTTAACTGATGTTTTGTAGTATATATTAAAGGCATTACGTTGTCAGTCTTAACCCTAACACTTTTCACTTTACAACGTTGGTTACTTGAGTTAGTTTACAACGTTGGTTACTTGAGTTAGTTTACAACCTTGGTTACTTGAGTTAGTTTACAACCTTGGTTACTTGAGTTAGTTTACAACCTTGGTTACTTGAGTTAGTTTACAACCTTGGTTACTTGAGTTAGTTTACAACGTTGGTTACTTGAGTTAGTTTACAACCTTGGTTACTTGAGTTAGTTTACAACCTTGGTTACTTGAGTTAGTTTACAACCTTGGTTACTTGAGTTAGTTTACAACCTTGGTTACTTGAGTTAGTTTACAACCTTGGTTACTTGAGTTAGTTTACAACCTTGGTTACTTGAGTTAGTTTACAACCTTGGTTACATGAGTTAGTTTACAACCTTGGTTACTTGAGTTAGTTTACAACCTTGGTTACTTGAGTTAGTTTAAAACCTTGGTTACTTGAGTTAGTTTACAACCTTGGTTACTTGAGTTAGTTTACAACCTTGGTTACATGAGTTAGTTTACAACCTTGGTTACTTGAGTTAGTTTACAACCTTGGTTACTTGAGTTAGTTTAAAACCTTGGTTACTTGAGTTAGTTTACAACCTTGCCCCTCCCTGCCCACACCCAGAACACGATCCTATAGTACACACAGAAATCACAATAGCGTGATGCATCAAATGAACAAATCCACAAGGGCCGTGATGAGGATTCGAACCTACGTCCGAGAGCAACCCTGACGCTGCCTTAATCGACGTCTTTTGACCATGTCGTAGCTCAGTCGATTAAGGCAGCATCTGGGATGCTCTCGGACGTAGGTTCGAATCCTCGCCACGGCCCCTTGTGGATTTGTTCACGTTCCAATAGTGCTTGCAATATATATTTATACACTGTAACCCACAATAGTGTGAGTTTTACTCATTTGCATCATCGGAGAGTTCAACACAAACTCTAAAGTACGAGGATGAAATGAGACTGAGATAGATACTTTGTAATGTGGCAAGGAAGGTTTAAGTCTCAGTTGGGTACCGGTAAGGTACCCCTGAGGTCCTTTCTCATTGATAGCATCCATAGTTATTTTTCAGTTTGAAAACAGTCTTGTAGTTTTGGACCTGTATAAGTCTGATGATACAAGTGAGTGAAATACACACACACACACACACACACACACACACACACACACACACACACACACACACACACACACACACACACACACACACACACACAATACAAAAAAGGGACTGGGTGGCTGAATGGGTAGTGCTCTAGGCTAGTGGACCTAGGGACCGGGGTTTGATCCCCGCACCCGGCGGAGACAGATGGGCAGAGGTTCCTTAACCCTGATGCTCCTGTTACTTAGCAGTAAATAGGTGCCTGGGAGTTAGACAGCTGTCACGGGCTGCTTCCTGGTGTGTGTGTGTGGGGGGGGGGAGGGGGAAAATAGTAGTTAGTAACACTTGATTGATTGACAGTTGAGAGGCGGGCCGAATAGGCGGAGCTCAACCCTTCAAGCTCAACTAGGTGAATACAAGTAGGTGAATACACCAATCGTTTCAGAGGGAATAGACTCGTTCCTCTCAATGTTTGCCGACGATGCTAAAATTACGAGGAGGATTAAGACAGAGGAAGATAGCAAGAGGCTGCAAGGTGACCTGGGCAGACTGAAGGAATGGTCCAACAAGTGGCTGCTAGAGTTGAACTCAAGTGTAGAGTAATGAAGTTAGGTGGAGGCAGTAGGAGGAACAACATTACCTTGGAGCAACACAACGTACCAAGTGGAAGACGAAGTCCGCCATGAAACGTAAATTGAAGTCCTCTATAAATTCTCAACCACTCTATCGTGGAAATAAACATTTCATTCGCTTAGGCACTAGGAGACTCGAACCCTGGCCCCATTCCGGGCTCGAGGGAGTAGAAGAACTCCCGAAACCATGTCAAGGTATGTTCCAGGTAACCGCAGACCCCAACGGGTGTGAGGCAGCCGCTCTACCTCTTAAAGGCTGTCTCATAGTACAGTGATAGAGCTTCAAGCCTGGGGTCGGCGGTTCGAGTCTCCTGTAGTGCCCACGTGAACGAAATGTTTATATTCATGGTAGTGTGGGTGATCATTTGTATATATATATATATATATATATATATATATATATATATATATATATATATATATATATATATATATATATATATATATATATATATATATATATATATGCAATTGACGATCACAAAACACTGATCATTTTATGCGGAAAATCCACAGAGAAATATGAAATGAGGTGAACGTTTCGGCTTTGTTAAAGCCTTTGTCAACACCAGACTGACTGATCAGTCAGTCAGTCTGGTGTTGACAAAGGCTTTAACAAAGCCGAAACGTTCACCTCATTTCATATTTCTCTGTGGATTTTCCGCATATATATATATATATATATATATATATATATATATATATATATATATATATATATATATATATATATATATATATATATATATATATATATATAATATAATATGAATTTCTCATTTAGTGTGATGATTGAGGACAACTGAAGGAACTATAGACAAGCTATAGAAGCCGACATCACACAATCCTCAGAAAGCCAAGGAAACACACTGGCAAAGACGCTCCATCGTCACACCTACGCCAGGAGAAGTGTGTGAGCGCGAGGAAGCTGGCTTCAAGTGAAACCTCCAGTGTGGAGAATTAGTGTGGATGATAGACGGCTTCCAGCGGACCCGGAACACGTGTAATTAACCCTGGGAAGCAGGCGAGCCGCGGCCCCTGTGGGTCCCCTGGTGCCCCCCCCCCCCCGGGGACTCTGGTGAAGGGGGTCTTTGTGTCCGCCTGTGACCCCTTGAGGCCAGGGACAGACCTGGCTGATGGAGGCTCCTGTTGGTGTATATCTTCCCTGGGAGGAAGCGGGGAGGAGGCCAAGAAGACTGCAGGCAAGGCCGTCTCATTTCTTGGGGAAGGGGGAGACGGGGTCTTGTAAGACCTGTGGCTCGTGGGAAATATATCAAATTAACTAATCCTACCTAAGCGTTTGCCCTTGAGGGGTTGAGTGTGGAGCTCTGTCCCGTAAGATGTGAGGGGGAATTTATTATTCCTAGCTGGGACCTTGCTCATATTTTTCCATTTTTATGATTTTGTAACCTTCTAGCAGGAGTGAGACAATTGAGATTAGTTCTCGGTGTAGGGCTGCCTCCTGTACAGTAACTGAGTACTGTTACGAGGCAGATTACGAGTCCAGTACTGAGTGCTGGACTCCTCTACCCATAGGAAGATTTTTAATGCTGTGATCATGTCTCCTATAAGTCTTTTAGTTTTCCAATGGTGGTGAAACTTACTGTGCTCTCGTGAAACTCACACGTACTCGGGTTAGCTGAGGTTAGTGGCGTGTGAGTTGGTATTTAGACTGTGTGGCACAAATATATTTACAGTTCAACCTTTCAACCCCATTGACGCGGTTTTTGGTACCACTGGGATCATGTTTATATGGTGTGAGCCCTAATTGGCAACAACGAGATTACTCTACATGGTTAGTTAAACAGAGAAGAATTGCTTCGTTGGCTCGTTACGATGCCATGATTTGACCCTCATATTGACCCTCTTATTGGTATTTATATTTCTTTTCCAGTCTCCTGAAAGACATAATTATGAGCCATTAATATTTTTTTACTTAGAGATGAAGTAAAACTTAATTACCCGCATTTTTACTTGTTTTTGGAGTATTTTATTTACCATGTTTTTGTGTTATTTCATCTTTAATATTTGTAACGCTACGGGCTCACCATAGACCGTGCTGCTTGGAACTTTTTTGTTCCAGGTAGCGAATCTTTTAAGAACATTAGTGGAAACTTTTTTCTTAATAAACACTTTCTAATTGGATTTTTATTTGTTCCAGATTTAACAGCAATCTTGAGGAATGAACCACCGTCCCATGGTGCCATTCCACAACCATCTTGTGGAATGGACAACCAAATTTTGTACCCTATAGTCATCATCCTTCAAGACATTTCTAGTTTTTCCTCTGATATTTTTAATCCCCCCCCCCAAGGTCTTACACTTAGGTTGGGCATAATTACTGTTGCATTAATCTAATTGACGACAATAACAACTATTCGCTGTTAAAATATAATTACTAAGAATATATATATATATATATATATATATATATATATATATATATATATATATATATATATATATATATATATATATATATATATAATTGTTGATCTTGTTTTTTGTTCGGGAATGACCTCTTCACAACCCTCTAGTCCAGCTGTGACCTTAAAAGCATAAGAATTCAGATATATGAAGGCACAGTTGTCCATTAGAGGCAGCTCCTATTTTTATCTACCTAAAAGTCGTTTATATATATGTCTAACCTTCGCTTGAAACAATCAGGTGATTCTTCGTCTATTATGTTAACCGGTAAATTGGTCCATTAATTAACTGCCCCATTCCGAAAACCAATAATAACTCATGACCAGGATTCATAAAGCATTTACGTCTCCATTTACGCAACCTGTACGTGTTCCAACTATTTTGGCGGCTTTATTTACATTCATTAAACATATTTGAGCTCTGAAGCAGTACGAGGTTGTTTATAGCAACAATAACCATTGTGAAAGTTTCAAAGCTTTTAAACTGTTTAATAAATTAAAAAAAAATCTACATCGTTGAAAGATGTACAGGTTTCGTAAGTGGGTGCTTGATGACTCCTGGCTATGTGGACATACACCGAAACGCCAAATTGCCCGAAACGCTATGCGTAATAGTGACTTTTAGGTATTGTATGTACTAGCTCTATCTTTAAATCCAACATTATGTTTGTAACTCATCTTCAATGTACGTACCTTTACCTGAATACAGAATCTAAATCTAACAACATAGTTGACAGTTATGTTTGTTGTGTTGACAGTGTGGTCGGTGACTGGGGTGGCTGGCCGCTCCACGGACCTCCCCTGCTACCTCACGCCTCGCTCCCCGGGGGACACGCCCAAGCTCATCCTCTGGTACAAGGCCACCGTCAGGAGCCCGCTCTTCAGGTCAGGGCCAGCTTCTTGTATCATGTGTGTGTGGGATTTTAATGCATTGTATTTAATATTATATCCCCAAGGCCTAGGGCCATGCTTGACTTGATAACTTGGTGAAATAGGCTGTTGAATCACCCGTTCTCGCAAATTTAATAAGTCAATATTGACTTATTAAATATGTGCATAGGTGACATACTTAACATAATAGATACCCTTAAAAAGATTCATAGAAAACACCGACCTTACCTAACCTACTTAGTATGTTAAGATAAGCATCTTATTGCTTCGTAATTACAATTATTACCTAACCTATAATAGGTATAGGTTAAGTAATAATTGTAATTACGAAGCAATAAGATGCTTATCTTAAGATACTAACAAGGTTAGGTAAGGTCGGTGTTTTCTATGAATCTTTTTAAGGGTATCTATTATGTTTAGTATATCACCTATGCACGTAGTTAATAAGTCAATATTGACTTTACGAATTTGCGAGAACTGGTTGGTTGAATAGTCCTCTCATCTCTTCGAGTAACAACAGGAAGAGAAGCGAAACACTGGTGGCAGCGGTGGGATACGAACCCACGAACCCACGCCTCCGAAGAGACTGGTGACTCTGTTACGCCTCTATCTCTTTTTTTTGTTGTTAGTCGAAGAGATGGTAGGGTATCTTACTTGTGGTGTGGAGAATAGGCAGGTTCCTTCTGTAGCGTCTTTATTGAGAGGCAACACAAATATGCACAGCCTGTCTGAGGTCCACCTGTTCCTGGGCATAACTAACAACTCACTGGCACCCTACACTTGAGCGGCCCTCCGGCTCTATTCCCGCCAAACACACACCGAAACTACGACGTTGGTACAACGTTCGAACAAGTTTTAACACCTCCTAACCAGTTATAACAACCAATATAGCAAGTTGTAACAACGTTCTAATACGTCATAAACACGTTAAGCCAAGATGTAACAACTTTATTACAAGTTGTAACAAGCGGAAAATAGGGTCAGTTACGGTTTGTGTTTCCAGGGTTGGTATGACGTCAGAGACTTAGCTACTTTGTGATTGGTGAACATTTTAAATTTCTACAATTGTAAGACCAGTCAGTACACAACGTGGCCGCTCTGATGTTGTGTACACAGGCAGAGTGTAGGGCTAAAACCAGCCAATATAACTTGATTAATATCCAAGTGTGGAATATTTACAGTTCGTTATTTTGGAGTTGAGGTTAAGTTAGGTTAGGTTACGTGAAGTTTAAGTTAGATTTAATTAGATGAAGTTTTGGTTAGGTTTAGTTAGATGAAGTTTTGGTTAGGTTTAGTTAGATGAAGTTTTCGTTGGGTTTAGTTAGATGAAGTTCCTTTAAGGTAGTGATATATTCAACATTATCATGACGGTTCAACCTATTTTTAACTAGCAGTGACGAACTTACCAAGCAAGGCCATTAAAGTGTGGTAAGTTGGAATGAACTAGTAATTATATTACCAGATCATTATGGCATTATGGACATGTAAAAAAGCGTGTTTCATGCGTATATGTGTATTTAAGTCCGACCATTGACACGCAACTGTGTAATAATCTAAGTGTAGTTACATGATGAGAGCTATGCTTGTGGTGTCTCGTCTTCGATTGATTGATTGATGAAGACTAAGCCACCCAAAAGGTGGCACGGGCATGAATAGCCCGTAAGTGGTGGCCCATTTGAGCCATTACCAGTATCAATAGATGATACGGGAGATCTGTGGAGGTGCGACTGCACCCTGCGTGACGGGAGATGTCTCCCGTGTGTCCCGACTTCCCAGCACTCTGTGTTATATAACGCTTTGAAACTACTGTCGGTTTTGGCCTCCACCACCTCACTTACCTTGTTACAAATGTCTTCCACTCTGCAGAAGAAATCTTCCTAATATTTTCCTGGCACCTTAGTTTCCTTAGCTTGGATCTGTGTCTTGAAGTTGCTGGTTTCAGAAAATCATCTTTGTCAATTTGGCCGATTCAAGTTATTTTGTAAGTGGTGATCATATCACCTCTCTTCTATCTTCTAGTTTTGACATGTTTAGCGCCTCTTGTCCCTTCTCGTAACTCTTGTTGTTCAGATCCGGAAGCCATTTTGTAGCATGCCGCTGCACCTTTTCCAGTTTCTTTATGTGCTTCTTAAGGTTTGGTCACCATACAACTGCTGCATATTCCAGTTTTGGTCTCACAAAAGTCATGAACAGTTTCTTTAGTATTTCACCATCCATATAATTAACAGCAAGTCTCAAGTTGGAAAGCGACACATCCGCTCCTCTCACCATGTTCTTTATGTGTTCCTCTGGCGACAGTTTACTATCTACCCCCCCCCCCCCTCCCCCCGGGTCTCCTTCTTTATTAGAGTTCTGTAATTCCTTTCCACATAATTTATAAGTTGTATGTGATCTATTTTCTCCGATTCCACATTCCATAACATGGCATTTATTCACATTGAATTCCATTTGCCACTTGACGCTCCTAGCACTTATTTTATCTAGATCAATTTGAAGGGCATTATAATCGTCTGCGTCTCCTGTCTTCCTCAGTATCTTGCGAGTTTCTCGAGCTCAATCATACTTGAAACTGTGTCTGGAGTCAGCCTCCACCACATCTCTTCCGTATGTGTGTGTGTGTACTCACCTAGTTGTGCTTGCGGGGGTTGAGCTTTGGCTTTTTGGTTCCGCCTCTCAACTGTCAATATGCTGGTGTACAGATTCCTGGTCTGTGTGTGTGTGTGTGTGCGTGTGTGTGTGTGTGTGTGTGTGTGTGTGTGTGTGTGTGTGTGTGTGTGTGTGTGTGTGTGTGTGTGTGTGTGTGTGTGTGTGTGATATTTCAACTCAGTTTATATTGCAGCTAAGTTCATCCTTATACTATACCACGATTTTAACACTAGAACCATCAACATGGCTCATTATTCATAGCAGTCACTGTAATTCAGTCAAACGTCGGCCTCAGACGCATGTAAACAAAGAACACGTGGTCGTATGACGTCACAGCATGAGGTAAACATTAGCACGTGTGATAGAGATTCCCATTTGTTTTGGTCCGCCGTGGCCCCGCCCCCTCAGCTGTAGTAACTCCAGCACCTCAATAAATTGTAGACCTTTAAATGATTTTCTCTTTCTTATTATATTTTCTTTTGTCATTTTACTTCTGTTATCATCTTTTTCTTATCATTTATATTTATATGAAGTTTGAGCGTTTAGTTAACTATTCAAGTTCACTTTTAGAATTAACCAAGAGTTAACACGTCAGCTGTTAATGTTAAAATACCTCGCAATACTGGTGTTAGGGGCCCCTGTCTGGTGTTGGTTAATGTTAACATTCCCCGGGTTAATGGTGTTTGATGTGTCGTCGTCCCGCCAGACCTCTCGGGGTTCCACTCCGTAACAAATGCGACTGTTTCGCCACACCAGAAACGAACTAAACTCGATCACTTACCTAATTGAAGCCATGCGTGGAAAGCGTCAATATTTCGATACTTTTAATTGTTTACCAGTACGTCGTTTTATTAACGGAGTGATAGAGTTCATTAAACAATATATATATATATATATATATATATATATATATATATATATATATATATATATATATATATATATATATTATTAAATATGACCGAAAAAGTAAGATTACAAAATTCTAACACGAATTTTCTCAATATTTCTTATGTTTCTTTTCACTGTCGATGGTAATTGAAAAATCAATTCCCCAAAATTCATTTTTATTTCTAATCTGACGCGACACTTGAACGCGTTTCGTAATAACTTATTACATTTTCAAAGACTTCTTTTCAAAGACTAAGCCATATATATATATGGCTTAGTATATATATATATATATATATATATATATATATATATATATATATATATATATATATATATATATATATATATATATATATGGCTTAGTAGGCAAGAGGATGACATACGGGCTATCTCATTATTAACGCCGGTAATTAACGAACGTTAATTGGCCATTTTTTTCATATTAATTACCGGAGAGCAAGCAAACTGTTGTTACCACTCCCGTGTCTCTTATTTCTAACCAGTGACTTATTTTGTTTATATTCGAAAAAAAACATTGTTCTTCTTTCATTACAAAGCCTCCTGCCAGGGGCCAGATTCACGAAGCAGTTACGCAAGCACTTACGAACCTGTGCATCTTTTCTCAATCTTTGGTGGCTTTGTTTACAGTTATTAAACAGTTAATGAGCTCCGAAGCACCAGGAGGCTGTTTATAACAATAACAAGAGTTAATTGGGAAGATTTCATTCTTGTAAACTGTTTAATAAATGTAACCAAAGCCGTCAAAGATTGATGAAAGATGTACACGTTCGTAAGTGCTTGCGTAACTGCTTCGTGAATCTGGCCCCTTCAGCCTTGCCATCCCTATCTCTCTACCTCATGCATTGCAGTGCAACATGTTGACGCCTTGCAAGACGGAAATGTTCCGTGCGCTATATCTTGAGGTTATCTTGAGATGATTTCGGGGCTTAGTGTCCCCGCGGCCCGGTCCTCGACCAGGCCTCCTTTTTGTTACCCCCCCCCCCCACGAGGAAGCAGCCCGTAGCAACTGTCTAACTCCCAGGTACCTATTGACTGCTAGGTGAACAGGTGCATTAGGGTTAAAGAAATATTTTGCCCATTTGACTAAGCCTCCACCGGGGATCGAGCCCGGAACCTCTGGACTACGCGAATCCGAAGCGCTGTCCACTCAGCTATCAGGCGCCCCCTGACACTAGGCTATATACATTGTTTTATCCTGGGGTCACTAGTGTTATGACCCCTGACCTGACAACCTGGTGGGTAGTTAGCACGAACCGTGGGGCTAACTACCGGGTAATTACCACGGTGCCGAGCACCTTAACAGTATGCAAATGAGATGGCAGGTCCGGGCATTAAGGGCGTGAGTGAAGCGCGTGTCGTGCCCCTTGGTGGCAGAGTGGGCTTCGTGGTGGCTGCGGCTGCACGAGGCTGTAGTGGGTGGCTGCAGGCACAAC